GCGTGCCGAATCAGACCAGCAAGAGCATAACCGCGCCCGTCGTGGCCGCTACAGTTCGTCTGGAGATGAAGACGTGTTCCGGACCTTTGTCGTTCGGCGGTGCGTCGTTCCACCGTTGTCGGTTGGCGTTGTATTGGTCATGGCGGAGATGTTGGGTTACAGTGGTTGGGGCCAGTGGTGAATGGGGCGGCGCTGACCGTGTCAATGTCAGAGCTTGGCCGGCGCACAAGCGCTGAATATACTTCCTTTTTCTACCAGGCACTCGTCCGGTCGATCGCCCCCGTATCGTCCGAACCCCCGCTCTGCCGGATTCGTTAAAAAATGTGTTCACGATATGGTGGAATGGGGAATGATCGACCAATCTCACACCGTTTGCAATACTTGCAATTTTTCTCTTTTATTCTTGGCAGAACGGACCTATCCACGTGGTCCTCGTGCCCCCACTACCGTTTTCTCGTCAATCATGAATTCGAGTTCTTACAACAGAAAAATCGATGCCTGGACATGAACCGTGATCGAAAAGACAGTTTTCTTTACTACACCGAGCGTCGAAGTCCCTTCTCAACGCCGAAGGTTCCGATGTTAACGACTGAACCACCGGGGCGCTCGACGTACATTTTAAAACTGGACCGCATTACATTTCAGAGGCCACAACAGCGGGTGAGGCAAGGGTAGGAACAAACTGCACGATTTCGGGCAAAAGCGCCATGGGAGCAGACGAACCTGGAGGAGATGGACAGAATGTCCGCGCGAAGCTGCGAAGACAAGAAAAACGTGAATCTCAACAAGTCTTTGTGGGTCCACAAGGTTCCATTCCCACCAGAACACCGACACAGGGAGGCCTTGGAGGATCACGCTCAGAAAATATCAACAATAATTTGGTACACGCCTAAACGAGTCGCGGAGGGATCGGACGATATGCGGCATAGTAGACTATTTCTAAATGGAAACGTTGGTGGCAGTGCTGCGCACTCCCGAAGGTTTAGAGAACCGTGAAGCCTCCTGGGGATAACCTTTGAACAGTTCTATACACGATAAGATGGGAAAACGTCACCTCTTCGTCGCTGTCAACAGTCACCCGCCCATCGTCCCTTCCAGCATCTAGTGTTCCTTTTGGGATCTCCACTCCAATAGCCGCCGAACCTTCTGCGGTCAGCAGGCTGTTCCTTGTGTTGTCAGCGTCTGCGTCGATCAAGGATAACCAAGACGGAGTCATGATTAACTTTTATGAACCTGTGCCACGAGTACGAAGGTTAGCTATTAACGGAGAGTGGCATGTTTGAGTATATAACTTGAGGATGTTGAACATTGGGTACCCGACTACATTTATGGAATAAAAAATATCTTGGGACATGCTTCTGAAGAATATATACCCTCGTCAACATCAATTACGTTCTCCGGGTAACTTGTCGAATCGTCATTGACGTCGGTCAGAAGCGGGGAGGCGCCTTAGGCCAACCCCCGAGGGTAACAGCCGCCTCGGTGTACAACGGTGCAAAAAAGGCTTTTGTACCCAATCTATTACTGATACGATAAACTCACCGGACTCGTCGTCGAGGTCGTCCAAGGCGTACCCCGTGGCATTGTTCAAGGCAACTCGAAGCCTGCCGGCCAAGATCTCCCGCAACCTTGATTCCAATCTCTCTCGCTAGACCCAGTAAAACATGCATGGCAGGGGTGCGAAGGTGCAAGGATCGGTCCTCGCTGAAAACGTTTTGGTTTAGGCCACCGACTTGCCTGCAAGAAGCATCGAGATTCAAGCCTCATTCATGGTGGCCACACCGTGACGTCAATATTCGAGAAGTGGACAAGGAGGGTGAGGTGAAAGCCCAAGGAAACCAACAGCAGTTGACGATACAAATTCGTCGAAAAGCAACCATGAATCATTGGCATGATTGTCGGCGATAAAGTATTTCGTGACCTGGGCGCGTACACGCATTCTCCAAGTCTATTCCTCCGTTCGAATTGTTCCTCTTTCCCCAAGTCTATTCCTCAATACCGTTCGGCCTCCGAATGCCTCCAACGTAGACGCCATGGGGCTGACTCCACGTAGGCGTGTTCAAACCTTCGTCCAAGACGACCAAACTCACATCTCCTACGGAAACATCCGATAGCTGCGTCTTTTCGTCCCGCCCCTCGTGCCTCATCAACAGCATCCAGTAGTTTGGCAACTCCAGAATATTGTCGCAAGTATGCGCCGTGGGGACCTGTCCGAGGGACTTTGTTGCCGCCAACCTGGCCGTCTCGATGTCCTTGCTTCCTCCAGGAACTTCGAAAGGGATCTTAGTCCAAGAAGCATGGGGTTTGAGTGTTCATGTAAGATGGCAGAGTTGGGTTTTGACAGAGTTAGGGATGGTATTTGGGATGGGCGCGAAATGTGCTTCGCAAATGTACAACAATACCGAAGAAGAAGCAAACGCAAAAAAAGCAACACAGAGAGCGCTACAGAAGGTTTACCGTACCCATGAGTGGCGCCATGTTCTGCACTTGGCCGCTATGGCGTTCGGTGGGGTCCCGCAAGAGCGACATACGCATCCACACGTTGGGCAGCGGCTGAGGGGCGACAAACCGTACCTCGATCGACAGGGTTTCGCATCCCGCCTCTGGTAGACGGTCCGTTCCCGTGATGAAGAGCAAGAGACGACGTCGTTCCTCTGGGGAGAGTTCTATCTGGACCACCGACCAGAATGCCTGTCACAACAGATATTTTCGAACGTTGCGTAGACGAATGTTGTCTGGATTTCTATCTTCGTCGCGTCATTGTCATGGGGAGAACCACCATCGCATCTTTCATCACGACGCCTGCTGAAACCGTTAAAACATTCAGATTGTGCAGTATATCCAGGGTTGCGTACAAGCTGCAGACATAGTGTGGGGGACCAGACATCATTTAGTGAAACCCTTAAACGACGATGACTGACGAAAGATTCTCATAGAACTACTGAGCGCATATTGTGCGCTCCCTAGACACCCAAGAGCATGGTAGTTCTGCGATTTTTCTCACCTCGTGCAATGGCACACACGTCACGAGTTCCCGGTCCTCGTAGACCGAAAACGCCACACGGAAATCGAAATCTTTCCCATCGTGTCGCCATTTGTCCTTCTGTTGCAGTTCCCCTCTTGATCCCTCCGATGGTGACGGAAAGCGCAAAGACGAATCACCGCCACTACCGCCGCTGCCAGAACAATCTCCGAAAACTGGAGACTTTCCACGGATAATCTCCGCCAGCACCGGTGGTCGGGGAAGAACATTCAGAAGCGTAGAAGAAGTGGAGCCTAAAACGTGACCTCCTGCGCCGCTAGAAATTTCCTCAAGTTGTCCTTGCGGTGCGCTGGGAAGAAGGGTACGGAAAAACGCCTCCCGAACTTCGGACATCTGCCACTGCACCGGCTCTAAAAACGTCTGCCTCACCATGTGCGCGATGTAGTCAGCTGCTGAAGTGTCAGCCGGCAGATCCTCGATTTCCAATAGGCCTTTCAGAGCGTCGTCGGACTGGACAGCGTCTTTCAGAGCCTCAAATGGTCGCTCCAAGGACTTATCCAGCGCCACCATGTCCTCCACGGAAGGCTCGAACGAGGGACATGATGGCGACAGCTGTTGCCCATGTTTCTGTTTTACTACTGCACTTTCACCACCAAGCAGGAGCCACCGAAAGAACAGGTCAGGGAGTTCCACCGGAAGCCGGCAGGAGTTCGTCACTGACAGTGCCAGAAGTGCCCCCAGCGTTCTCAAGCGTTTCCGATGCTCGTCGTTGGAGCGGTCCGCCTTGGCGTCCAACCATTTCGACTGTCGAAGCATTTACCAGGTGTGAAAGATGAGAAAAACGCAAGGGGAACACGACAACCAGGGGCTCGGCGGAATCGTCATCATGCACCGGTGACTGCGTGCATTTACTCAAGTGGACCCTGGGAGCTATTGTCAAGCTTTATCAAAGCAAAGAGCGAGGAACTTGTATCGGTTTGTTCGCCAAACCCGCACCTCGTTTGCATACGCCAACAAGGCAGTACGCAAAAAAAACAATACTTCCGTCAAACATGTTTGCTCACCTCACTGCCCTCTTGGTAGACGAGCACCGGACAGCTTGCCTCCTGCAGGTGCGCCTCCTCCGACTGAAACCCATCTACCCACAGCTTTGTTACCCTCGCGGAGTACCTTTCAGGCAGTTCGGAAACCAACAAAACATTTTATTGACACACGTGATTCGGCAGCTTGGACAGTAAAGCTACACATGAAGATTATATTATTCCTGGTGATATTACCTAAACGGGGTGTGTGGCATTAAGTTCATCCGTTCGAGCACCCAAAGAGTTCAACCATTTCGTGGATTCGTAAAACTCTGCCAAATTCAGCGTCTTCCGAACCATTCCCCACCAATCAAACCCTTACAACGACAACCCCCACCTGCTGCTGTCGTCCCCGCCAATGCCTTCTTCGACCTTGACGCTTCCGAGGATCCTCGTCTGACTCCCGACCTTAATTCTCCAGCCGGCCTTCACGCGCGAATAGAAGGCCCTCTCCGGGGCATCCGAGGCGGAGAAACTAATCACAAGGTCCACCTCAGCCGTTCTCCCTCGAGCGGTTGCTTTCATCGGGGACGAGAATAAACCCGTCTGTGGGGACCGCCATCGCTCGCTAAGCTGCCGCGACGCCAGCTCGAAGAGTTCCTTGCGAGGCCCGAGCCCTTCGCCCTCCTCGACGCACTGCCCGAGAACCTTCTTGTTTCCCCAGGAGGATAGGTAGTAAGGGTTAAGAATCAGCGCCTCAGCGAGCGGCGCAACGCCGGAGGTGATCGTATTGCTACCCCCGACGTCCCCTCGCCCGTCACGATCCGGCGGCGGGAGGTCTCGTTCCAAGGCCCCCTGGATCTGCTCCAGGGCCTCCTCGCGAGTCGTCACGAGGTTGATTCGTCGCTCTCCTCGCTGGGTTAGCGCTGCCTTCAGCAGGACGGCCTGACCCGCGGGCGACAAGAAATACGAGGACGCAAGGGATGGCGGCCGCAGTGTTTTCCTCGCCAGGCCTTCGTCGAGGCCTAGTGATGTTGCCACCGATATCAGATTCTCGTCCCTGCGGGAAACGGTAAGGACGAGCAAGAAGGGGAGTATCATGACGCAGCCGCGTGCCACCTCGAGCCCCTTTGGAAGCACAAGTGTCGATCATGTTGCCATGCATGCTGGAGCTCGCGGCGTCGATGTTGTTGAGGGTAAACGCCTTGGCGTGAACGGTACGAGCATGGACACCACCAACAGCAGCTACATATCGATCGGTTACCTTTCGACCTTGGGGCGGTCAGCGTCAAGAATGAACGGAGCCAGCGAGCATACCACCCTCGACAGGGTTTCTAGCGTTGAAGAGGCGTGGACGATGTCGGCCGTGGCGGAAGATCGCCCTCGATCGGCTGGCATTGCGCAGAGGCACAAGACGCACAACAGCAAGCACATGCAAGGGAAAGTTCGTGCCGAAGAAATACTCAACAAAAATGGTTTGTGCTATGGACCAGTGACAAAGCCTGACAGAACCCGTAGACAACTTAGAAACACCGTCCTGTTGTTGTCATCGGACGCCTCTTGCACACATTTGCTAAATCTTCCCCTCTTGACCTTTCGGAAAGGGATGCTTGGGCTCTGGTAAACGCCTGATGACAGCAATACACGCAGAATTCCCCGTCCACTCCTCAGTATCACGCCCGGCCCACCACCCACATGGTACGGGTAGCACTGCTACATGCACCAAAACATGCTGCAAGTTTACATGTCTCGCACGTTGATGGGCTGACACACGATAGATTGCATCTTGCTCATTTTGATTACTTATAGAAGCCCCCAGATGGTCTCGTTACGCACTGAGTGCGACAAGGGTACGACAAACGGTTACTTTTACCTGCTTCACATAGCGCCGCTAGGAAATCGGCGCAAACTCCTCCAACCCCGTCCACCGCTCCACGGACACCGCTGTCTCCGCCACCGTCGCCTCCAACGGTGCTGATTTTCGTTTGCCGGATGGGACAACTGCTGTTGAGGTGCTCGGCGCACTCAAGCAGGGGATCGCCTGTGTGGGCGGGGCGCTTCCCCTGCCTTGCGTGGGCGGCCCAAGCCTGCATTTCGGGAGCGCCACAAACATGTCGGAGGCAACGATTGTTGTCTTCTTCGATGAAACTGGTTGTCTATTCCGATAGACGAGGACAGCATGGTGTGAACGCTTCCTCGTCAAGCGAATGGAGTAGACTGCACTATAACAGTTACGAATTCTCAACAAGTTGTCGGGACCTAGAGCCAAAACGTGACTATTGAAAGGCCAAGGACAGCCACCTATTTTCCGTACGTTCACCACCGCAACTGGCAAGGTAAACGATAGACATGAAAGACGTACCTGACAGGTTTGTGCTGCTTCCTGAAGCTCCCCATCGACGCAACGTGCGAGGCCAGCCGTCAGTCGCGCTAACCGTGATACTGCCAGGCCTTCTCCCTCCGCCGCCACAGCGGCAGCAGCGAACGCCTCCAGCGCTTTCCCAACACCGTTTGGGGCCGGCACAGCAGCCTTGTCGCCAGTCTCTGTGCCGTCGGCGGAGGCAAGGTGGCAATGTCAGCGCCGATGCAGTAGTCCATTCTCAATGCTCCGTGAGGCAGTCGAGAAATAAAATAAGTCATTCAACACTTCCACGTTCACCAGTGTCGTGCGTTAGGTTTCCGGACCGTGCGGATGCTTGGTTTCACGGGCGAATGCTTCGTGGAGGCTTGATGCAACCAATCATACGGCCATTGTTCTGTGATAGACACACACGTACGGGGCGATCGGGGAAAACGATATTTGCCTCAACAACTTCATCGGCTAGTCGGTTGCACGTAGGGAAACCGCCGGTAGTACACAAAAAAAAATACCTGTCGCGGTGTTGGGTTCTTCAGATGTTGAAGCCGATGCAAAAGCGCGCTCCATCGACCGGCGGACGTGTCCTCCCGTTTCCCCCCTCGCTTCTAGAGCTTTCTGGAACAACGCGGTCACCTTTCCATTGTCCTCATAGCCAACGCCAGCGACAGGTGTCGTGCTACCTCCTGGCGTCAACAAATATTATTTACAGGGAGAATCAACTACCCTCCGGGCAGAAGTTTCGACTCGGATGTACTTGTCATGAACACAAAAGCAACCATCTCACCAGTATTGGATCGCTGCCAACGGTAGTACATTTAGGCACGTCCTGTCACCCACTGCCGGACTATTCCCGGTCCCCGTCAACAAACCCGACCTGTTCCAAAGAGAAGCAAGACGAAGTCTCAAACAACACTAACACGGCTGGGCAGCTGGTTGGAGAGACTCCAGGCGAACTGTTCGTTTCCACTTCACCTTGGCGCTGCTGCTGTTGGTGTTGCTGGTCCCGCGGCTGCCTCAGCAACCCCTTCACGGCATTCACCGCCATCTCCCCCCAAGGTCCAGACGCCGAAAGGACACGGAAGGCGCCGGTCACCCGCCAACCGTCACCATTCTCGGCCTCATCCTCTTCCATACCCTTGGTGACTTCTTCTGTCTTCCCCTCGTCGTCCTTGTCGGCGTCTGGTTTGCTGTTGGAGGCGGTGGCGTCGGCGGTATCCTCGATGTCCACCGCTCGTGGTGCCGCGTGTTGCAGTGACGCTTCCTCTGTTTCGTCCAAAGAAGCGGCAGCGGTGTTGTCGTTGATACTTTGTGTGATTTCAGACGGCTCCGCCTCCAAAACCGCGTCCACCGCTGCGGAAAGCTCCGGGGGATTAGGAAAGAACGAGGTCCGTCCCCCACGGGTGGTCAGCGCGCCTTCTTGGTCTTCCTCGTGTTGCTCGCCCTCGTCGAAGCTATCGCTGCCGTAGTCTTCGTCACCGAATGACATCACGCCCTTCTGCTCGTTGCCTTTGTTGTCCCCCTCGGCGCTTTTCTCTAGCCCATCGTCTGCGAGGAAGTATCCGTCATCGCTGTTGTCCGACGTATTCCCCTTCTTCTGGCCCCCTTCTCGGCCCCCCCACCTCTTTGTCTCGCCGTCCTCGTCGCCTACTTCGTCAGCACGAGTGGTATCCACCACGCCCTCGGCCGCTTGCGCGGTTGTTTCGCCCTCTACGGTCGCGGATTCAGCTATTCTGGAGTCCAGCGCTGTACTTGGATCTGAAATAGTCCTCGTTTCGCCGCTACTAGGGGGACTCGTACCCGCAGCGGGCGCACCTTCTGCGCTCCTTTGACCCTGTTCCGTCGGACCACCACCACCCTCACCATTGACCGAGGAGGCGTCAGATCTATCAAGGGTTGCTTCGCCGGCAGCCTCAGTAGTCGCAATCGTCCTCACGCTGTCTTCCTCCATCGTCTCCGTGGGTGCTTGGCCCTTCGCCGCGTTCGTTTTATTTCCGGGGTTGTAGTACTCCACTTTCTCCTCGATCTCTGCTACCCTCTTTTGGACGTATCCCTCTTCTCCAAGGAAGGTCGTCTCCTGCGGTGGCGGTACTGGTGCCTCGAACTGGGATGGTGATTTGCTGCCTACGGTAAATCCTTCACCGGCCTTGAATGGACCAGCTACAATGTCCGCCGGTTCACGACCATCGTTTCCGGCCGAGACCGCCTCAGACGTAGCTGAAATGGTCTGATCTTCTTGGTGTTCGTCGTCATCCTTGTCGTAATCGTCGTCGTCGTAGGCATCATCATCGTCGTCGTCGACCACTTCTTCTCCGGCTCCTTCCATATCGCCCGCCTCCGCGATAGGCTCATTGCCATCATCGAGGTCCGAAATTGATTCAGCGTCTACGCAATTGTTGCTGACCCCGATCGGCACCTTGGAATCATTGGTGAGGCTAGATCCGTCATCCCCGCCAACGACCGCTCCTGCTGTAGCTCCAGACCCGTAGGTTTTGGTGGCCGAAGAAGAACACCCTCTAGAACTGCGGGTAGTTGATGCGCGCCTCGTTTCGAAGTCACCCAGGTCGCCAGCGGAAGGCTTTCTTCCAGCGAAAGACGCATCAGCATCAGCACTGCCGCTGCCGAAAACGCTAGCACGAAGGAGGCATTCTTGCGCAGATAATCGACTCGCTGGGTCGAACACCAACATCCCTCCCAGGATTTCTAACACCCCACGGTAGTGCTGACGTTGCTCTTCACTCTCGCCAACTTCGGCAGACGCAATACCGAGTGTGTCAGCGTCGAAGCCCGACCCTCCGACACGAGACCCTCTTGGGTTGCTGCGCCTAGCTTCGTGAGTCCCCGTGCTCCCGTCCAGGCACGCCTCTATAGAACGAGTCGGCCTACCGCGGGGAGGCGGCGGGGTGTACCCCATCTCACGGAGACGTGACGCTAAGTCGAGGGGCAGCGGTCCGAGCAGCGCCGCCATTGAAGCGGCTAGTTCTCCTTCATCTTCTCCGGGGAAGAGAGGTCTTCCAGAGCTCATCTCGGCGGCCAGGCAGGCGCAGGCCCAAACGTCGACCTCCGCGCCGTAGTGAGTAGAGCCGGCGAGCATCTCGGGCGCACGGTACCAGCGGCTGCCAACGTACTCCGTCCATCTGTTTACCAGGCGACGACGACGGAACAGCGTTGTTGAGGGTGATGAGCTTGAAACTACTTTAAGCTGGCCCGCACGATGCTTATTGCTAGTGATAGTGTCCTCTGATACATAACAATCCACGCAGGGTCGTCTGTTACATACCAGTGATGAGGATGCCACCAAAGGTCGCTCAAGGTGGACAATTGTACGCAGTACCATGTACGATGATAAATCAGATTTTCGGCCGAATGAATCCAAAGGACAAGCGAAAATTTACGAAATGAGCAAGACACGTTTTGGGTCAACGTTTGCCCAGCCGCCCTCTCGCGCTCGGTGGGTGTGGGCTGCTTAAGGCGAAGCGTCCATTTAGGCTAAGGGTGGCGTAGAGTACCCGGAAAGCTAAAGGACCGTCAAATGTAAGTCACAGTCGACATATATATCCACATGCCCGCTGAGACACTTATGTCAGGCTTGCGGGAGGCGCATATTGGCGACACTTAAAACATATATTAAGGGCGGGCATACGAGGTGCAGCATGTTGGGGAACGCGACACAACCGACACAACTTCGTATGGAGAAGCATCTACCTTGACAACCGTAAGAAATCTGAAACACCAAGCTATTATTTGAGAACAAGCGTCGTCATTCACAGGAGTGTTGGTGAAAAGACTACCGTCGATAGGGGCTGAAATATGTGCTACAAATACAAGAACAACTTCAACACCGTCCTCGTGTGCATCAGTCAACACCCACGTTCTTGGGGTGTCTCTTGTTGTATCATCAGCCGATCTCGCTATCGTGTCTCGCGAGTTGAATTCTTGGCCAATCTCGCTAGCCTTCCGAGCTGTCCCCAGATCGCACAACTGACGTACGCGAAGGAGACATTGATGCGCACAGGATCAAAATGTTTATCGAAGCATACCACACACACCGCTGCCGCTTGCATCGGTTGTTGTACGTCCCCTTGGATATTCAGGTTTGAGGTAGTACGACCATGAACAAGGGACTGTACCAATGTTCCTCAGAGTTTAACCAGGTAGTCGACTCTTCCATAGTGCTGATACAAATGTTCAGACTCGTCAGGCTTTGATGTAGGGTCACTTTATTTTGTAACTGCGACAAAGCTGAAGCGCCGTCGGAGTATGTCGACATGCTCTTCATAGAAGGGTCCACGAAGTACGTAGAGGATTTGGGGGATTGAACATTGTACTAAGCCCCCGAAATTTCTCAACCTCGTTGCCTTTTTCCAAAAGGTGCCGCTCGTGTGGTCTGCCCTGCTATCCCTTGCTCTGGTAAGCTCTATGTTTACGCCCCTCTCCGAATAATGCTTCTCACTTTCAGTGTCGGTACCCCTCCCTTGGTCTTCTTTTTGTCTACCAGGATGTTCTCCGGCTTAACGTCCCGGTGAACGACGCCATGCTGGTGCAGGAAATCCACGGCCGATAATAACTGTCCGAGGAGATTCGTGGTCTGGTGGCGCCAAGCAAAGCGAAAAACGACTTATCAAGACTACATCAGACATTGGGAATGTCGATTCCGTCGTGCCGAGACTTGCTTATGCGCGAAGCAGATCAAACGATGGCGAGAAGCGCCAAGATGGCAATCGATAAGTACAAAAACGGAGTTGGCAAGCTGCGATATCCTCCCATGCCATCAGAACTCCGTGCCGATGGCGACTGGGCGGCAGCTGTTTGGGGCACAATCGCGAATGTCAACGCTAGAAGAACGGGTGATATTGGGGATGAGCATCTCGCGCAGGGTGTTGGTGATGGGGTTTTCTTTCGCATTCAAAATACATGGCTCGATTGTCTCGGTTTACCAACGGCATGGTTACGCAAAACCTTGATCTTCATCGGTGCACCAAATTCAAGATTGTTCGTAAGACTATTTTGTGGATTTTACCTCGAGAAGAGAAAGCCCGCCGGGGTGTTCCTGTATAAGGTCAAGCAAGGTACCCGGCACGTGCTCGAATATCAAGAACGCGACTTCTTCCCTACCAACACCGCCGTCACCACTGGCAACGCAAGTACCCCCCGCGTTGATGGTGCCCAGGCAGCGTACGATGTTGGGGTGGATGAGGGAGAGGGCGAGGTCTGCCTCCCTCTCCTGGGTGAGTCGGACGTAGTTCCTGGTGTGCTCATCCTCCATGTCAGTGAGACCTTTGAATTGTTTGATCGCCACCACTGCTGTGATGTCATCGTCGTCGCCGTCGGTTTCGGTGTTTCGCCGCACAGAACCTCCTGCGGGGTGTCACGTGGGTGGAAGAGGCTCAGTGAGCGCACCTCCAAGCTAAACAGTTGGTTTGGTGAACATCGATTCCATAAGCAACCGCCCACAACGTCCGGCTGCAGTTGAATCCCGTTCGGGATAATATCGCTGAGAGCGAGGCGTCCGCATGATCGTGCGGCTAGTGGGCAAGGGTGTGGGTTGCGACACGTGTTGGGGGAGCCCGTTAAAGTAAAGAGGGAACCTTCGGCTTTCACCTGAGCGCACTTTAGCTGCATAGAAAACGCTGCTTCGCATTCTTCCTGGTCTAGCACCCACCCCTAACCACGCAACCCGGTTAAGACAGGGACACTTAGTCAGGTGAGAGACCGCCACAGCGCTAGCACGAATTGATGTACCCTTCTTTCCCATCATCGAGACCCGTGTGCTTTTAGGCGACCCTGAGGCGTTTCATAATTCGCCTACGAAAGGTTTCCCTTTTGGCTTACCTGTTGTCGAGCAAATAGACCGGCGACGGCGGTAGCACTTGTACACCCAGCCGTACGCCCCGTCCCCTAGAAGACTATCCACGTCGTAATCGCCGATACGGGTAGGCATGCCCACATCTTCCTGCTCTTGCTCTCCGGGTCCGACGTCACTGTTCGCGTGGTATTGGGGCTCGTCCGCTCCTGACACTCCTTCTTCCTCGTTTCTCAGTTGCTCCGCCTCGAACAACCGCTGTGCCTCTTCCTCTTGCAAGCGTTGCTCATACGCTTCTGCTTGTTGCCGCTCTCGCTGCTGGTCAATTTCTCGCAATCGATGACTCTCCTCATCCTTTAGGCGTGCCTCTTCTGCCTCTGCTTCTCGTAGACGTCGACCTTCCTCCTCCTCTCGACGAACCTCCTCCGCCGCTTCTTCTAGCACTCTTTGCCTCTCGGCTTCTTGCATTCGCAGGCGGTCCTCTTCCTCCTCCTTCTCCTTCCGAAGGCGTTGTTCGTGTGCTTCGTTTGCTTTCCGCTCTCTGTGCTGTTCTTCTTCACGATTTCGTCTACTTTCCTCCTCCTTTAGATGTGCCTCCTCCGCTTCTTTCTCCCGCACTTGCTGCTCCTCAGCTTCTCGCAGTCGCCGGCTTTCTTTCTCCTTTTCCTCTTCCTCTTCCTCCTCCTGTCGTAGTCGTCGCTCGTGGGCTTCGTCTGCTTCCCGCGCTTTTAGCTGCTCGGCTTCTCGCAATTCCCTAGCTTCCTCCGCTTCTTTATCTAGCTGCGTCGCAAGTAAGTGCTCATGACTGCCAGACAACTGTCCGCCCTTTCCTTGAAACTGCTGAGCTTCACTACTGTCATGGTCTTCTTGTAGCTGCGGGGTACCAATTTCCGGTGAAGTGGTGTCGTCCTGCCCATATTCTTCATACTCTTCGAAGCTCTCGCCGTATGCATCCGAAAGGTCCTGAAACAATCAAGAAAGCAGCCGCAAGGAGCCTCGCTGTGACGACGGGACACTTACGTACAAGCTTGGCTTCTGCTTCGACCATTCTCAAAATCATGCTAACTGTTTACTTGTGGACAGGGATCGTAAGCCTTAGCTCTGTAGGGCCAGACTGATGTACGGCGCCACCTATTGTATGCATACGTGGAAGAGGCCATGTTGCCGGAGCGACGTTACATCATAGTACGGGTTGGGCTCGCCTCAAGCCTCCACTACCCTCAATACCACATCTCACACACACATGAACCATACATCCTGCCTACTGTGCAAGACCATGTTGGAACGATTCAAACCAAACGTCGACCCCGAGATCGAAACGGATCAATCCGCCGCGTTTGTCTATCTTGCTGTATCAAGTACGTTAACCCTACATATCAAAACCAACGCCTTCTCGGGGACGATATCACTCCAAGAAAGTCATTGTTCTTTCGAAGGATGGACATGTCCTTCATGGGGAAATTGACGTGGCCCGTCGTCAACGTTGAATTTTTCTCGGGGAGTATTCATGGTCTGTTCTACAGCTCAAGCGATGCCTGCGGCGCTGTGTGGAACCTGAAGAACTACTATTTTCAACATGGAAAAGTATTTCTCAAATCTCCGGTGCGCGTGGAAGAAGAACCCACCACTTGCATCGACGATCATCGTGTGCGTGGTTGTTGAGGCAGAAAAGTGATAGGTTGAAGAATATCCCACCAGGATACCGATATATAGCTTCAATAGAGGTGGTGTCATACACCGCGAAAGTGCTTTCAAGGAAGATACCTCCTCGTCGTCGAGAGTATTCTTCGGACTAAGAGTCTCCTCGCCAACTTCCTCTCCAAGGTCTAACAGGCCATCCCCCCCCTCCAGCAGCCCTCCCGTGTGTGGGTCTGCCCTCTTGCCCGCTTGGTCTCGCTCTAGCTGCTCCAGCCTCTGCTGCTGCTTCCCCACTTCTTGCGCTTGTTCTTGTTGCTGCATAGTTTGCTCCTTTGGCACACGCTGTGTCCGCGGTTTCTGCTTCTTCCGTTTTCGCCGTTCCACCCCCTCGCCGCCGACCAGGCCCCCAGCCTTGCTAAGCGATTCATCATCGCTCGCGATCACCACCACCCCGAGCCCGCCACCACCAACACCATCCGCACCACCACCCGCGTATCCTTTTCCCCTCCTACTGACGTGAACGCCGGCCTCTTGAGCACGTTCTCCGGGAGGGTCTCCAGCTTGAGCAGCGGTCGCGGCGTCTCGGGCACGGTTGACGGCGTCCAGTATGACATAGGTTGCCGCGTAGTACCGGCCAACTTGTCCCGCTCTGGGTTGCCCCGCGGCTTCGGAACGGGTCAGCAGGAGAGGATTGCCTGCCGTCGCGTGGTCGTTGGTTTGGTGTTGAGACCAAATGAGCCGGAGAGAAACATCGTGAAAAAGTCAGGACAGGAACATCGTGAAAAAGCCAGAAATAGGGGCTGAGCCCACGTTTCCTACGCTCTCGCTTCCTTGCTTTCCTGTGCACCGGAATGGCTTCAACAATGGCTGCAAGTACTGCAGGTTTCCTTGCCGCACCGGGGGATCGAAATCGATCTCCTCCCAAGCAGACAGAATTGTCCGACGGACTAGCATGTTGGGATGGTCCGGTTAGACGTTCCGGCCAATGGAGAACCTTTCTGCCGACTCGTGGCGCGTGACTTGATTCCCTTCCAGATTTGCGCATCAAGACGTTTTGCGACTATCGAGCTCGCCCTCACAAAGTACGCGAGGCAAGTGCGGACTCATGGCGCGGGCCTCTGTTCCCTTCGAGATGTGCGCAACAAGGCGTTTTGCGACTATATAGCTCGCCCTCACAAAGTACGCAGGACGAGTGCAGACTCATGGCGCGGGACTCTGTTCCCTTCCAGATTGGTGCAACAAGGCGTTTTGCGACTATCGAGCTCGCCCTCGCAAAGTATGCGGGACGAACGAACTCCTTCTGAACCCTCGAGCTCTCCTTATCTGCGCATGTCCAAGAGCAGTTATTTTTGTGAAACCCAACCCCATACCTTTTGGGTCACGAATCATCATCATACGGCTTGGTGATGGTAACAGTGTCCTCACCTTTGCCAAAGGCAGGTGCGTCTTTGGCGAGAGCGTCCGACACGAAATCCAAGTCATGGTGCATCTTTGCCAGGTAGTCCTGCTCCGGAAGCGAGAGCGTTACCCAACATATAGAATTGTGATGAGGAGATATACGAACGCCTGCTCCCTGATTTTGCCTATATACAAGCGGGATCCATGTAGCCTGTGTGTGGTCAATCTCACCCTTGAGTATCACACCCAAATCAAATACAACAAACTTCATAGTTGTCGAACGGGTCTGCCCAACAGATCGTTCCGAAGCTCTGTCATGCGCAGGTTGCTCTCCGTTCCTATTCATAATTGAGACATGGGTTGCGCTAGTACAGCCAAGGGTTCGAGCAACACATGCTGCAGTTTCGACAAACAATCTATGTTAAGTCGACAAGCATTGCTTCAAAATGTCAAAAAAAAAATCGGGCAACGTTGAAGTGACGTCCATCGCGCATATTTGCTTGCACGCGGCAAGCGTTCTGAGGAGGCGTTGGTGCTTTGCTTGTGTGTTCCGCTGTGGCGTTGTTGATAGGCCTATATTCGTATATTTTATGTTCACCGGCAGGAACACGTTCTGTACGTCGATTGTGCGTAGCTCGCGATTCTTGGACTATGAACAACAGATGCGAATGTACCATACAAGATGGTTGGACAGCAACAACAGCGGTTCAGCTAATAACACAAGTTCAACCCCGGAGTAAACGACCACATTGCGCTCCTTGTTGTTGAAACCCAAACTTCTGCCACGTCGCGAGATATTTCATGTGTTCGGCGATATGGAAGACCTCGCACAACAGCCTCGTGTCGTCGCTCGTGAAAGAGATACATGGGTCAGGGAACGCTGCACGGATGTTGGTGCATGCCCAAGAAGAACAATAGCAACTGGACGTTTCAGCAGACACATCAACCATGTGCGTATGCGACGTTCGGGTCAGTTACAAGGCCGTCATACCCCTAGCGATCAACAAGGACAGGGCAACATGGGCTGAGATGACAGCGAGAGAGCCGTTTTTCAAGCCTCGTACGGCGTCACCTCGGAGCTCCAGCGGAACGGCTTCGGCCTGCATGATTCCGGGCTGACTACCAGTGACCACGCCACGATCTTCTCCACGCAGCTGCAGCGGTCGGAACACAACAGTGTTGATATCATATTGTGAGTCTGTGCTTATCCTCCAACCATTCCAAAACACTGTAACCTCAACCTCGCAAGCCCGCAACACGCGTATTGATCCTCAAGGTGCAGAAAAAAACTCAGTTGTGACTGGATTATCCAGGCAAGACTTGATCATAAAGCAAAGCGCTCCTGGCGAACCCCGGCACTAGAGGCAAGCAAATATCGAGAAGGGCGAGGTGCTGAGTGAAGGGTTCGACCGGCGCGCAACCTGATACAATTATGACGCCCGAAGAGACGATACCCTAAGGGACGAGATCAGCACGCACTGTTGTAGAGTTGGGGGCTTTTTACGCCAGTGAACAACATCCAGGAATGAACGCGTGAGGAATACTTGTGAGTTGTGAGCGATCGATGGGTATGAAGCCGAGGGTTCGGGTGAGGTTTCGCCTACACACGTCTGGCTTTGAAGGCATATATCTAGGTCAGCCGTGTATGTGTTCCCCTGAATTCGTCCCGTCGAGGTGGTCCAGCTCCCATCGATCTCGCCCGCTCTCTCTCTCAGCAATTCTCTCTCTCTCACTCGTTCTCTTCCTCTCGATGCCTTGACGGCCTTGTCCTGTTTACTCTGCGATTCCCACTTCTTGGCCAGTGTGTTTGTCCCATGTGTTTGTTGTTTATTTTCTTGACCGTGTTTCCCTCCTCGAACAGCAACGTGTTCATGACATACGGCATTGCCTCAGACCCTCCCACCTATTGCGGTCTTCCCCTGCCATTTGGTGTTCCAACCCATTTTCATGAGAGGGGTAGTTGTGTCCCGGTTGACCTTTGTTTTTGTTTTCGGGGCAACTTTTCCTTAAAGTCTCTGGGCAACCAAATCCATCCCGTTTCAACTGAACCAAGTCTCGAATACCGATCCCTGCTTCTCAACGGCTCGGAGTAGCAGCTCGAAACGTCCCCTTTTCATTTACCTTAGGCCGGCCTTTCTAACCTCTCCGGCGAGATGGGTCAGGTTTCTCAAGGCACGGGGACGCCTATCTGTCGCGCCAGCCTCCACCGTAGCGCCGGCAGTCGACGTGGCTGCAGAAAGACCAGGGTTGGTTTTGCAGTTGGTGCAAGGCGAGAAAAAGAAAAGGTGAGCAACACCTGGCACATGGCAATTCCAACAGCTTTGAGTAGGAAAGGGGGTAGCGATAGCTAATGTATGCATATTCATGTGGGATAAACTGTTGTTCTAGTTGCAACCAAGTGTTTGTTCAACGTTCAAGTGAAGACGAGCGGAAACCGCCACCACGGGAGCTGAGCTACAGGAAAATATTCTTCACGCAGCAATTCCTTCAGTTCCCGCACAGATTGCCAGTCGTCGTCTGCACCTTTTGGCTACCATTTTGCGACAGTTTTAGATGAATAACGTAGCCGCACAGGAAGCCTGGCCGTGGCATCACTCGACAAACGCGAAAGCTTTCGATATGCTTGAAACGAAAACGCATCCTGTGTTCCTACCCATCCATGGTAGATCCAAGGACATCAAGTGTTGTCCGCTACTGCTATACGGGACATTTTTCGCTTTCAGGAAAACGCCGCCTCTTCCATCACCATCACAAACCCTCAGGCACCTTTTGAGGTTCCTCTTCCGGCTTCACTTCTGTTTCCCTTTTGTCTGCGCTTTCCCTTCGCGAATGCCACCGCTGTCCCACCGTAGCTGTTGGCGGAAGGGGATACGCCGCCTTGAGCGTTGCTGCTCCCGCCGCCGCTGCTGCTTTGGCTGCCGTGGAGCCAAGCATATGACGAGTTTGCAGTCCAGGGGCGGGGGCTCTCGCCATCACAATAGTTTGGCTAATGGGCACAAAAATGGTGCCTCGTATCTACTGGTTTCATAACATCATACACGAGGTCCGCCCCACGGTCGGAACTTATGCTCTGAAAGTTTGTATTCGACAAGTTTGCTATCCTCACCTCCTATCGCAGCCGGCTGCGACGTCAGCTGATGATCGCGCGTGCATCGCTTCACCTATTCCGCCTGTGCTTGCCTTCTTTTCCTTGGCTTTGCTCTTCGTCCTACCTTTCTTGTGCCTTGCGAGGAAGGGGGGGGTCGGGGCGCGCGAAGAAACATTGCCGGAGAAATATTCCGAAAAGCGTAAACTATGCGATGGGTACGACAAAGGGAAATGTCGGGGAAGCTGATTGAGTTAGTCATCGGATACTTTTGATGGGGACTACTCGTGTGTTATCGGTGGTCTCAGGCTTCGCGCTTTGTGCAGCGCATCTCATCAAGGCGGCAGGCCACAGGTCCTGAATCCATGACGACCATCGCCCACCCGGCTTCTAGTGGAGTGACCCTTTATGCGTGATCACCTTTCTACTGTGCGTCCAGGACCACGCCCAGCTTCTAGTCGCATTTCGACCTGACAGCATCTTTCTCATGCTCTCTACTCATGTACGGCGCTCACCCTTTACTTCGTCCCTGCTGTTGCTGCTGCTGCTGCCCACGGCGCTCCGAATGGGCATGGCTTCTCGTTGGCCAGTCTTCTACGAGGGCGTGCAGTTTCGCCAGGAGCTAGCCCAACCACACAAATATAGACACGGTTTTCGCGTAGGCGGGGGGTAAGACAGAGGAGAATTAGTTGTACGAGGGGGAGTAAAAACCGATCTAGCGTGGGGGGGGGGTTGAACCATTCGCGCAAGGTCTAGACGAGGAACCCTGGTCACTGAGACATTACTGATGCTTTTCTGGCCCTGACGAGCTCTTTCTGGTCGTTTGCTTCGTCATTTTCCGCTTCCTATTTCCTTTGTCCCTCAGCGATTGAAATTATGCACTTTCTACGATGACGTAGCTCTTCCCTCTTCCCCATCGTTGCGCGTGCCAAGAGAACTACCGTGTCATAGACTGCACTGTCGCTACTGTAGATGTAGGCATTCTGGCGAACGAGAAGAACAACAGACAGGGCATATACGATGGCGCAAATCGTTTGGTCTCACTTGTTCGCGGTACATGCACGCGCCGGTAGCCGCGCGAGTGACCGCAACCAGCACCTCAGCGTTCACCTGCCGCCCCACAACGGTTCTAACAATGTCAGGCTGCGATCGTTGGTATCTCTACCTTCCCGTTACCACAGAAGGCAGAAGGCGGGAAAAAAGAAAATTGCATGTTCATTCAAATCCTCGCCGTAGAAAGTGGCTATATCCCAGGAAGGCCACAATCGACAACCATCGCGAGCCGTGCCACGTTTATCTGATACAAGGCATATAAAACCTCTGCAGATTCGAACAGAATGCAGCTGCCTGTTCGATGTATTCCCTGCTACATGTGCGTGCGCCAAGCCTATCCTCAAGGAATACGCTTTTGCATATCCCTTCATCCGGGGCACCGGACGCGCAGGTTTTGGCCAACTTTTACACCTGCGAGATCTGATGTTGTCATTGTACTCCCGTGCAAATATGTCGGGCATCAAATTCGACCCTCATAGAAGCAGGATCATTATGTTCCTCGAGATAGTTTATTTTCTTTGTTCCTGTTCGGAGTAGCACTTTCGACTGGTTCATCAACACACACGTGGAACCTGCGGTATGGGCAGATGTTAGAAAGGTAGACCAACTGCCGCTCCCCTGTCGAGGGGGCACACGTTTGCGTGACTCTCTATGCCTCCCCTTCTCCAGGTGGGTTTTCTTTGTTGAGACCATGTTCTCTGTCACGAACTGCGACAGGGTTTAGCATGCGAACATGTGAACCATAAACCGAAGACGAGGGAGGGAGCACTCCCTGTGAGGCCCCGAAAACAGACAGCAAATGTGCTACAACTCAGCGTGCGGAGAGCGTCAAAGTGTGCCACCCGTCCCTTCTCACCTTTGTCGCATTTCGTTCCAATGACGCTTTCCCCCCGCCTTGCACCACCTCTCCCTGATTGCTATGGTCCTGTTGGTTATTGACGAGAAAAATAAACCGGCAAAGAATGGGTGTGAGAGGTTCGGGGCAGCAGGAAGCTATCGTTAGTTCCTGTCGGTTTATTGCGCACCAGATGCGTGATAGTTGAAGATTCCCAATTTTTCGCCGCGTTTTGACCCTCATATTTGTTTCCGTGAGCTATGGGTACGAACAAGGACAACAAAAAACACAATCACACCGAACGAAGGGAAGCACCGGCCGCCTGCTACCTCAGCTTTTTTCGTTTGGGTTATTGGGAAGATGAACGCTGCTATGGGGGAGCCGGCGACCGCTATCGTCAAGTCAATAGCTATCGCCATCATCGGCTACCAGCCCCACCTGCTTCTCGTGTAGGGATGCATTTGCGTTCGTTCAAGGAGGTGAAACGCACAAGATGGGCAGGGGTGGATTCGCGAAGATGGGTCACATTAATCTTGTCGCCACGAATCCTGTTGTAGATTCGGGGGGCCACGGAAGCGGCCGGGAGTATATTGCGCGTTTTTCATGTGGTAACGCTTGCACCTTTCACGACTATAGTCTCGCATGATAAAGGGGAGGGGGGGAGGATATACTTTGGGTTGCCGTTCCACACTTTCGTCGTATTGCCCACCGGGTTTGACGAGAAACGTGTTCCGTAGAAAGTGTAGACTACATTACCGTGATGCCTTCCGTCGAGTGACCACGAGCCAAATGATCTGTCTGGGTGCTTGTTCAAACGCACTCCGACAGACGAACAAAGAAGCTATAGCCATCCCTAGGAAAATAGGTAACCGTTTGCCAAACATACAAAGAGTTAAGTCTCCAGTCTTTCCTATAGACCTGTTTTCCGAGTGGTCTGGCGAATGCCGTTGACAAGTTAATCAATAAGTTCAGTATTCGATCAAACTACAGTACTCGCCATAATATCGACTAGATGAGGGTGAACTCGCTACTCCAGATTGGTGCAAGTTTCCCTTCTCGCCATCTGTCACCTGCCCATGAAATCCCGTCGCAGAGTTGCCGTACTGTGGAGGAGGTGAGCGCGTGTCGTCCCTGACGTCTCCTGGCGTAGGGTACCCAATAGACCCTTGATGCCGTTGCGCACCTCTAGCTCCAGCAGCAACGGAAGCAGCAGCAGAGCCAGCCGTGATGGCCAGGTTGGGATTCTCGGGATACATTTTCTCCATGAGGTAAAGGTCGCGGCGGCTCACTCTGGCGCCTGGGGCATCCGTGCCTCCACGCGACAATGACGGGGTCATGTCTCTCTGAGTTGGAAAACAACCGTATAGAACAGACATTGTTGCAGGAAAATTCGCCGAGAAATGAGGGAGAGGGAGAGGGAGAGGGATAGACCGGAACGCGGACAAAGCACAGGAGATGTCATCGATTGCCTGTTCGTCAGGATATCATGTCGCCCAAGTTGTTGTTGTTGTTGTTGTCGTCGTCGCCGTTGTTGTTGTTGTTGTTGTCATTGTTGTTGTTGTCACTGTTGGCGCTTCTGCTGCCGTAGCTGATAACCATAATTTTGTCGTTGACGTCTGCGGCATATTGATAGAGGAGTTGGCCGTACCGTGCCAAACAGAATGAGAGAGAGAGAGAGAGAGAGAGAGAGAGAGAGAGAGAGAGAGAGAGAGAGATACAGTTGCGGCACCCGCCAACGAAGCAGCCACGACTACACAGCCAATAAACGACACGATACCAGCATTTCCATACGGCAAACCTCCGATAGAAACCAACAACAGCCACGGAAACAACAGCCACGAAAACAACAGCAACAATACCAATTTTACGATCAAAGCTTACCCGGATGCGCATGCGCTTTCCAGCGGGCTTGTCTGAGCTACTGAACCCCACCCCGACGCTGCTGCCACCGCCAGCACCAGTAACCTTCGTCATGTCTGGCCGTGTTCGAGATGCTCCATCGCCGAGCGCCATGGCGCCAGGCACGTCGAAGTACTGCCGGTTTCCATTGGTCGAGCCAGATAGATGGGTGAAAGGCATGGGACAGACCGCGTCGGGGAGGGGTGTTGAACGATGTCGCAGACGTAGGTAGTCGCACGGCTCCGTCGTACGGTGAATATTGCTTTTGACGCGTGGTTGTACCTGTCGTGGTAGTGTGACCACCTACGTGATTGTTCAAGGCTGCGGGAAAACATGAAAATCGGCATCGTCAACGGCAACGCCAACACTAATGACGACACGAAACGCAGTGGCGGCGGTTATGCCAGGTTGTAGTGTTGGGATGCTGCTCAACACGCAGTCCCCGTGGAAGAAGCCAATCATCAAGGTCTCCGGTTGCGTTGCCTAATTCGGCACGGCAGTAGCTCCTGCTTCAGCCGTCGCAAGACGAGGCAGACACTAATAGTCAGCTCTATGGGTGTAGCCCGCCACCCCCGGTTTTACTGGCCCATAGGACACGGTGATATCTTGCTGTTTGCGTAGGTACCTTGCTTACGGTACTCCTAACTGTCCCTTCCTAGATGGCCACCGGTGTTGCCGCTCAAAAAACACCGCAGCGCGGGTGGGCAGCGAAACCATAAAATGTTAGGAGAAAGTCTTCGCTGTGAAACAGCAACGGCATCGTACCGAGGGGCCATCGGAGGCGAATCGGCTGTTCCAGCCCTCCTCTCGTTTCCTCAGGAACCATGCCGGCTGCGACCCTCGCGATACTGCGCTGGCGTTTACCAGGTTCGGTCTCGGCCGTCTTCTGCCCGGTGGAGGCATTCCACCGTCAGTCCCGCTCTACGATGCTGCCGGTGAAAACATCGACAGCAGTGTGTTAGGACTTCGAAGTGACTAGTTTTTTAGGCAGGGCAATGATGTATTCAACAAACAACACCCCTTGCGATCGCGAGGTAGCACCCGCCGTTTGGCGGCGCTTTTTCTGGCTGATTCCTAGACGTCCTCTGGTGAAGCCAAAAGCTTTTGCCACAAGAGAGAGTAACGCATTTTCCTTTTGAGAGATTGCCTTCTTCTGGGTGTGAATACACATGCACAGTGTGCGTGCGGTTGTGCTGGGAGACCGATACATGTTGAGCTTACTTCGCGTGATTGTACCAGGTCGGGGTGCATCCACCGCCGGTTTTACAACGGCTACACTTTTTCACCACACACTCATACAAATAACGTGTAGGGAGGCCTAATATTAAGGCGCAGAAGATGCTCTGTATGTCCCGTTCGCAAACGAACAAAACAAAATCTTCCACATCACTACTGACTTTGCCGGCATAGTCTGCGTGAAGAGTTTATGCCGGGTCCTCGTCGGTTGGACTCTCATCCCCGCTGCACGCTGGCACATGAGAAGACATCCAGCTGCGTCAATACTGCATCTACATAGAGGTCCACGAGAGAATATGAACAACTCGAGCGACGCCACCTGGGGCAAAGGGCGGAAGGAATTACTACCAGGTTGGCTGTACAATAGAGACGGCTAGTTGAGCAGGGGTCACGATAGAGGAGATCGACGGCAGGTTCCTGCCACCACAATCATGTTTAGTCCCGCACAAGTCATACTACATGTTCTGCCATCTCCCTCCTGCTTTCCTCGACCGCAGCTGTTTGTTCAGGATGATTTTCCTACGCGTACGTCCCGTGCCCCCCTTCCGTGTAAGTGGTTTCGTTGTCTCGTCGAGTACTTGGCTGTCCCTTAGGCACACGTGTTCGGATGGCTGCTTCTTCACACTTGTGCCAGGAGGTCGTGAAATTTTCCTTCCCCCGCAGCACCCCCGCGTACGACGGCACCTCCTCGCCCACCTTCGCTGCGAGAGTCCAGGTAGCGCCAGAGCTCCCCTAAATTATTACAATTGGTGTTGTGTATCATACCCGGTACCTAATGTTCGCTATTTTCCTTCGTAGTTTCATCTGTAGCTCCGAACTGTAGACTATTTTACAACAAGGCACAACTTTTCTGGAGCACCCCCCCCCCCCTTGAACGAGGGCCCCAAGCATTACTCTTGTCGGGATGGAAGGCGTGGGGCGGATCGCCCATGACTATCTGTAGAATACAATAAAGAAGCAGCAGGCTACAGTGTGGACTTCTTTCGTGTTGTAGACGCTGTTCCCCGGAATGTGCATGCTGAAAACATTTAATTGTGGTATCCAGGGCTATCAACCACCACAGTTTCTGAGAAAAAGGCAAAAGGCAAAGAAAGGTATAGACTGATGCTCACTCTATGGAGTCGGGGCTCATATGATGTATCCTCGACCGAGAGCAGACATCTACCGGGCTCCTAACTTACATCGTCACAAGCAAACCCGTGTCATGTGCAGTGTCTAGGTCTACAGCAGCAGGACTACAGCGAAGTAGTCTACGAGCATACCTTCCCCAGCTAACCGCGATGAGCAAGGTCCCCCGGTGGCCGAACCAGGCCCTCTGGCCGGCAGTGATGAATGTGCCACGTATTACAACATTTGAGTCAGCCGTCCGCACCATATACTGCCGCGATGGCATACAAAGATCGTGCACCCGGAGCAAGTGTGCACATAACAGACAACCGCAGTTCCCGCCGAGTGCCGTTTCGTCCGTGATTGGCCCGCTTTTTATTCACGGACCCCCCTCTCCTCCTCGTTGCCTCGTGGTGTCTCTACTTCTACTGTCTATACTGTCTTTTGCTTTGCTTGCTTTCTTCGCATTTGCTTTCCCTCCTACAGCTATCGGGCGCCTGGTTTTGGGCAGTGACCGTCGTCATACCGTGGCATCTACGAGGAGAAGTCGTGTTGTTCGCGGTCGGCAGTGCTACACATGGCAACGTTGGTGTTGTAGACTCGTTGACGGAATCGCCGTAGTGGGAGCGCGGGTGCGGCAACGGCAAGGGAAATGCAGGGCGCGCCAGCCTTTAGGAGGTGAGCGAGCGTGCGATAGATCTGCCCAAGTCAGCGGCGACAGTAGTGGCGTGCTGCCTTGCTCTGTGCACGATATATTTGCCGAAGCGGGCAAATATCCCCGAGAGCGGCGGAAAACCGCAAAACGCGTGACAATAACACAATAACCTGTGTGCTGTGTGCTTGAGAGTTACGCCGCACAAACAAGCGAGGTACACAGCAGCACACCACACAGACAAGCAGAGTAAAGAACGCTGCCATGCACTGAATGCCGGGACCTGCACGTCCCCTGCTATGCTGGAGCCTTTATGCACAAGATCGCTGCACCCTGCAGCAGCAGCCCTACGCTCCGGCAGCACGTTGCGCATCCCCGGAGCTTCAACTTTTGGGTCAACTCAAAACTGCTGTCCCGTTCCTTCTCCTGGTTAGGGTGCACCGCCATGCAACAAAGGTTGACGTGTAGACGAGCGCTCGTTTCGGTTGATGGTCGTCTGCATATCTTTGATATCGCTGTTCTTATCGTTACCGCCCAACAAGAAAAAAGGTGTGGGGATGATGACATATGATACCATATGACACGCCAACGCGCTCCGGGATAGGACAGGAAAAACGCTGCCACCAGTACCACAACGACCGTCTGCGCATCTCATCACCTGTGTGGTTTTTCAGTTTTTCCTCTCCACAACCTCAACCAACGGTAGCGGCAACGCCCCTTCCCTTCCGAGCTGTAGCCCACTGGATATACCCATGCCTCTCGTGTGATGGTTGATACGTAAAGACCACGCGGTGATACACAGAGGCTCAGAAATTGAGTTGGCGAGAGCCCAGTCTGCATCCTATCGCCAGAGGTTATTGCAAGCCGAAGAAAAATCCGAACGCCAGGACAAGGGTCAGCGACAAGAACGCACAGTAGACAAAAGGTAAAGAAACACCCGTGCCTGTCGATTCTCTTGTGAAAAACCAATCAGGAAAATCCGTGATGCACGTCTCGCTTCCCTCCGAGCGTTACACCCACAGCAAGGGCAGCACACACTCCAACTAACTGACACCTCGCGAATGATCGAAACCACAATCTAATCAAAGTAGGCATTGCGAACCCTATATGGGTGGTTTAGTTAGCTCGGGGTACCCGGCGTGTGATCCAGGTCGAGAATTTACCGGGCGACTGCTGCAAATGGCGTGGCGTCCGCAGCTGAACAACCCTGCGGTTCATTTGCTTCGCCGTCACGGTGACCCGGTCGGTTATTATGTCGATCAATTTTCCAAGGGGTTTCCCCTCGGGCTTTCTCAGGGTTGAATTCCTGGTCAAACTATGTTCCGGTGTCAAGCCACCTTCCCCTCCTTTGCCCACCTTTGCGCCTTCACCGTCAATTCAGGCAGCAGCTCCACAAGCGTCTGCCCGCCGCACCATATCGGAACCTCAGCAGCTCCACCAACAACAACGACATCGGCGTCGATGGCGACGATTTCACAGACAGTAGCAACAACAGCAGTAGTAGCCACCACGACATCAGTGGTAGCGGGAATCGAGTCTACCATGACCGCCAGCACCTTCTGCCGCACTCGTGGAGCATCAGCAGTGCTTGCTCGAGGTGTAGCGACAGCAGCGGCAGTGGCATCCGCAGCAGCAGCGGCAGGCGCAGGGGGCTAGCCACCATGGTCCTAGGTGCTTTAGCCCTTTTGGCCGTCCTCCTTTTCTCTGGCGACCGCCTTCATGGATTACCCGCATGGGGCGGCGTCATGTCCCCCTCGAACAAAGTTGACGAGAACAATGTTGATCGTGGGGACGTGTCCGGCAAGGAAACAAACCACCGGGCACAGCTGCCGGGAGATCTACTCCGTGGTGATGAAGCAGCGGGTCCTACGGGCGGAGAAGGACGGGGGCAACGATGGGGAGGGGGCGTGAGCGTGGGGGCTTCGGGAGTTGCGGGATCGGGCGGGACGGAGAGAAGAAGCGGAGGAAACGGCCGAGGGGGACCCGCAACGGCATCGAATGCCGTCTTCGATCGGGGAGGGAAGGGACAGCAGCCTCTCTTGGAGACAATTCACGGCGGAGCGGACCAAAACGAGCGCAGGGACCGAGCGAATTCGGGCCAGAATGAGCACGGGAGTGGGTCGGGGAGCGGGGGTCAGGAAGGGCGAGGGGGCGTGCCGGTAACAAGTCACGGTGAACCGATTACTGTTTTTCAGCCTGAAGAAACAAGTGGAGAAGACCTAGTTGAGGTCGAACAGGAACAAATCATGGACAAGGAGGGCAGCAGCACGAGGGACGAGGAAGTTCTAGTGGAGGGGGTTTCCGATGGAGGCGGCGTTAGCCTCGCAGGGGAAACCAAACACGCAGACAGTAGCGGAGCGGCGACCGGAGCGATGGCTAGGGGACGGGGGAAGACAGAGGGGTCCAATGCGATGAAGGTGTGTTGACATGTATCAAGCAGCGAAGACAGCCTCCCGAACGCGTGAGCCGCATTTGTTGTTTTCTTGTTTTTAATGGTCGTTTTGGTTTCGTGTGCCAGCTCTATCACCAGCTGAAAAATATGTTCGCTTGAAACTGTCACCACGGATTTCGTCGCTGTCTCTGCCGGTGGTGGAACATTCTGTTGGCAGGTGTGCAGTGGGTACCTCAATGACTACGGGATTGTTCCGGAAGATTCTTGGGGCACGGCGCCGAAGGCGATTCAGAAATCCTGGATCAAGATGGTGAGTGTGCTCGCGGTTGTTCAACGATTATGTGGACAGCACTCTCGTCACCGACATCGATCCAAGACGGGATCACCCAGGTCGCCAACGTCCGATGTTATATTTTTTTGTGCGGAGGGCTTTTGGCAGCGCGCACAGATTGTCTGGAGAAGTTGCAACCAAGGCCAGTGAAATCGGAGGATGTCTGTGCAGTGGTTGGATCGCTTGGGACGCCGAGCACAAATACGACAGCAAGGGGGGCAGTGTAGAGTGCTTGCAATTAGACGACACGCCGACGAGTTTGACCCCCCCCCCCCCCCCCAAAACAGTAATCGTCACCCAGGGGCAATGATCCAACAATGCCAATGTCTTACGATTGACGGTTCGGTAATGATGGGTTTGGCAGCACCGAAAAGAGCAGCGTCCTCGAGATGGTGGGATAGTTCCTGGTCATTGGTGTCCATTGACTTGATGCAAGTAGCGCCGCGATGTAATTTGTGCTCATAGCTCTCACAACCCCGGCGGGAAATTAGTATTCTCCTATTTTTCCTTCACTTAAGGATAATACTTTCCCATGCTTCCATCGATCGGCTGATCCGGAGCTGCATCGAGCGAGCGTGTGCTGATTGTGACTCCTGGTGTTGTTCTACAAGCACCACTTGTTCTGGATGTCTCACTTGCACTACCCGGTGTATACATGTCGATCGACGTGCCTGCGCGTCAACTTGCTCCAGAACTGCGACAGGGTGCTAGGCATGAACGGGTTCAGCCTGGAAGATCCCCCATCAAGGGGCCGAAATCGCGCCATTGTCGTGGTCTGGAATAACATTAACGTGAGGCTTGTTACTGTTGAGCATTTCTGGGCGACGGGGTAGGTCGAGCTCATGCTACTGTCATTGCTGAACCTTACTGTTCCTGCAAGATTCCCTCGCTCGATATCGGAACAACGCCAGCTTCGGGTCTCGGTGCCGCATTGAGTTTTGACGCTCATGGACCTTGCGGCTTCTGTGACAGAGGCAGACGACTTCCGTGGTGCTAGACGAGCATACGTCGAACATTTGTGTGTTTTCGTTTGTGGCATTCTTATTTTACTGAAACAGATGAATATGCTTCCGATGCCGAGCAAAGGAGCGTGCACCAACATGGTTTGTGTCGTTTGTGTCTTCTCTGTTGTGTGTTGCAGTATACTGTTATTGGGTGCCTGTTTTCCCCTAGTACATCTTCACAGTTGGCTCGACTACCGCCGGACCCAATTTTACACGCGTTTCTTCAAATCTTGTACTATTCGCTTCGGATCTTTGATTTTCTTCTCCTTCCTCCGGCCGGCCTTACTCCATCTTGAGCAGGGGTGGCTGGACTATCTCCGGCCATCTTTTGTTAACGACGCGAGGGACATCTGTGCTACGGAGTGCGTCTTTACCAACGATAGGGTGGGAAAAACTAAGAATTGCCTCGTTTTTTTTTTTTTTCTTGGTGGCGCGTACGGAATGAATACATACGAGTAGCAACATGGAAATATCACATTTTGCCGTTGCACACCTTTGCATACCCCATGTTGTCTCGGTAATAATGGCAGGCCTAAGTCGGCACACGTGTCGCACAGTTTCCTGAGATTGCCATTTGCATTCCTGGCCACACGCACTTGTGCGACCTGGCGATACATCGCCGGTCGGAATCGGCTGCCTAGGGCAGAAGTCGTGTTAGTCAACGACCCCAAGCATGAGCGAAGAGCCTTCCGCAAAACAATTCCGAATGTGGTTGCAGATGAATCGATGCGGATCAAGCCGCTACTGATGCGTTCATGTAGTTGTTTTTCCACAAGGAGGTGCTGAGTACGTCGCCGACGACGTTACCAGTTGTGTTCTGTCTGGTCCAGCACCTTAAAGTTGTCCCGTTGGTTCGTGGTTTGTCCATAGGTTTCACTTTTGTATTTCTTGGAATATTCTCCCGAACTCACACTGCCACTCCCACCAGCATCGAACGACAAAGCCTTGAGGGTGTGGGGAGCGTTCGACAGCGATAGTGTACCGTGGGGTGTTTTGCTCGCCCTTCCGAGTTGCCTTCGAACGGTTCCTGTGCGCTCCCGGCGTTGCTTGCTTGTTGCGTGTTTAAACTCTCCGTTTTTCTCAGAGTCTGCTGCCGAGGGCTGACGGCGTGTTGTTCCACCTCCCCACGTTCAACAAGAAGGACGGGTTTCCGAAACAAAAGCCACCCGCCGCAGATTACGTCTTCGCCAACCTCGAGCCCACGACCTACGAGAATGTGCAGCCTCTCCTCCGCAACAAACAGGTGTGTTGTGGTGTTTTTTGTTCTGGTTGTTGGTGTGTAGCAGTTGTTTCCCACATGGTCTGTTAGGATTTTTGCGTTTTCCAATCTTGAACGCGCCCCTCATACTCCCGCCACTATCAGTCTCCCGTGCGATGAGATGCACAGTACCCCAATAATGCCGATCCCGTCGTAACTTACTAGAGCTGTCCTAGGCAGCGTACATGTTGTTTTTGTGACCCTGCTTTTGGTGCCGCTAGCTCATCCTCTTATCGTCGTGGGCTGACCGTTCATGGTATCCTCGTGCACAACCCCCGTTGCACTTTTTTGACCCTCCAGTTTATGTCCAAGTTTGACCTTTCGATGACATACGAGCGGAACAGCGACGTGCCACTAGGGTATGTGGGCAGCTCTTCGACCTCGAGGTACTTCAAGGCGCCCAAGGCTAGCTTCAAGGTACGAGAAGTCGGCTCGTCATGTTGTCCTACTTCGGTGGAGACTTACTGGATGTTTTCGAACTTATTGATGCGATTTTGTGTCGCATTGCTTTGAATGTATCATTTTTTTGTTGTGAAGAAAACGCTCAGAGTATACCTGCATGCATGCATCGAAGCATGCGTTAGTCAGGTTTTATTTGTGCATCCTCCTGGCACCGGCCAACGATAGGGCACGGCCATTCTCGTTGGTAGTTGGTTGCGGTTGGTGTGCATCTGTTGCTTGTGAATTAAGATACGGTCCAGTCCTGATTTTTTCCCAGTACCTCGATTAAGTCGTCCCTTTTTCCATGATAACGAACGGATGTGTTCCCGTTGGCGAATACAGACCAAACCCTACAGGAGGTAAACGAGCACGTCCAGGTCGGGGGAAAACGATCCTCTGGGTAACAGCATGCAGTCAACATGCACAAGTCGATGTTGTGTCAGCTCTTTTTTTCTTCTTCGGTTGACATGGATTCACCTCCGTTGGGCGAGATACAATATCATCGCGCGAGTGTTGGAGGTTGTTGCGGGTGGACTTGCTATGTATCGATGCCCGATATCCGTACCTGCTTTCTGTATCACCCTTCCCGGAATCTCTCCCCCGGCTTCCAACACGGCAGCCGTACCAATGCGAAACGAACGGAGGGATAGCCTCGCTGGGTTCATCCCTGCCATCCTCAACCTCCCCTATTCATGTATCAGATGCTATCAATCATTTCGTGACTCTCTAGGTCGGCGGCGCGGGTTCCGTCAATAACTTGCCGATGGGCAGAGGGCGTATCGCGTGTTTCCACGGGCACGGTTCTTCTCCGGTCTGGGTTGCCCTTGTCAACACCGAAACGCCTAGTATACCACGTTTTTCTTCTAGATTCAGTTTTGTTTCTTCCCTGTTGGATAGGCTCTTCGAATACAAAATTATGTGTTCGAATATTTAGCACGCGGTTTTGTGCGACATACGCGCGTAGAGGTCATTCTTGGGGGTTGGCACGCACGGCCATTGGATGTTTGTAGTATTTACGCTTCGTGTGGAACTCAGTATTTCACAAAAAGAAAGATACAACCCAGCTGATTTGTTTGGGTTGACTTTCGGCTTTCGCCCTCTTTTTCTCCAGCAAAAGGACGGCTTCGGGTCTCCAGATGCGATAGCGGCGTTTGTTTCTAACTGCAAAGCCGCCGGAGCTACCAACCGGTTCGCGTACATGGAGGAGCTGATGAAGCACGCTACCGTGCACTCTTTCGGCTATTGCTTACACAACAGGTGGGGTTGTTGTGTTGGAGTAGATATCGTGGGATAAAGGAAATACTGCCAGATCTCACTGTCGGTGTGTTGTGAGAAGTGCACGTCTGCATCTTTTTGGTATGTTGTTGTGCGCACCAGCTGGGGTGACACGAGAAGGCCAGGCCGAAAAATCTTCTTCTGCTGGGGTACTTTCGATTTTTTTTTTCTCGCAGCAAGTATACGGCCGTGCCTACCCACCGTCGGGCGTAAGGCGCATTTTGCGTGCACACGAGTAAACGGCATCATCCATGTTTGTTTGGTCTCATTGTAAGAAACAAAATGCTACCTGGAGTTCGAATGATTCGCCGGGATTCGAATTCACGTGTCCAAATTTTAGAGGATCATTACGAGGTGAACCATTGGGCTATTTTGTGTGAAAGTACGGAACTCTGCTGTACCACAACAGGGAAGAGCCGCAGCTTGTTCCTGGAAGCGGCGCAACCAACCGGCAAGAAAACAAGGTCGCCGTCCTCGGCCACTACAAATTCCTTCTGGCTTTCGAGAACAACAATCAGTGAGTGTCTCACCCTTCGTAGCCGAAGCAAAGCTTCTCGTGCGGCCGAGAGCGGCCAGCGGTGAGGCATCGATCGTGGTGTGCCAAGTTTGTCGTGCGCTCCCAGTCCTGCTGTGCTTGTAGTATGCACCTTTTGTGTGTGTTTGTGTGATGGGTCGTTTGTCCGCCTTTCGGTGGGTTTGCTAGACATGTCAGTCAAGGCTTCCCCAGGAGAACCGACACACGTTGTTTTTTCAACATTTCTTCTGCGGTGCATGCCTCAAAAGCTTTGCGTAAAAAATGTTCCCTCGTCCGGTTCGTAGTCGATCGTGAAGGCGATTTTTTTATGCGCACACACGAACTAGTCGCTATCGGTTTTGCTTGGGCACATTGTGGGAAAGTGTCCCGGATCGTGTGTGAAACCACGCCGAGATTCGACGTCGGGGCGTTTCGCGGTTACCACCTGAGAAGTTCAGTCACTGGGGCGATCTTGCAGGTCAAGGAGAGATTGACCTTGTTTGCATCCACTGCAACGTCGTCTCTGCTGTTCTTTGTGTTTCCTTTTTTCTTTTTTTTAGAATAAGGGACTACGTTACCGAGAAGGTGTACAACGGGCTGCAGTCGGGCACTCTACCGGTGTACTGGGGTGCGGAAAACGTCGAAGATTTCGTTCCAAAGGGCTCGGTGGTCAAGGTGAGCAATATGACAGACGCAGCTAGCTCAAGGTGATGCCTGCGCTATGCCGGAATGTACCGCATCTGCATACCGGCGTTTTGGCAGGTACGGGTTCCTCACCTCTCTCACGCCATTTCTCTTTCGTCATCATCGGCGCTATGTGATGGGACACTGCTCTGAGAGTGCTGGTATACGCCGATGTTACGGGGCAAGGACATCGACAAAATACGTATGGAGCGCCCGAGTTTTGCGCGCAAGGGCTCTTTGATGCCTTTTTGTCTCGGCGTTGGGCGAGTGGTGTTGGCACGCGGTAGCTAAGGTAGCTATGGTTTGAGCGTTGGGACGTAACATTGCCGACTTCTCATACAAGGGTTGGCATTTTGTTTCTGCAGATCACGATCCTGAAGTGAACAAGCTACCGTATTTTTTTTATACCTTCGGAATGTAGCAGAACGTCTCTCCCCCCTGAGATCTTCGCAAAACATCCTATCTTGTGTCGGAAGCCCACGAGCGTCCAACCGTCTTCGTGCAGCAGCTCATGATGGATGTCACTGGGAACCGGTGTTGGTGTGCGGTCGCGCGCCAAGCTTGACTAGCCTTCCCGCCAGCTACGGGCCCGACTACTTGAAATATGTATTCAACGTTTACCCTAAACGATCGAAATGATCGTACCCATCTCGTGTCTTGTATGAGTTCATCATCGCATTTTCATCTCCTCATGTCAGGGTTCGGATTTCTTGAGCTTGGCTAAGTAGGGTAGGCTCCCCACGAGGATTTCAAATTCATTCTCGTATCTGCGGTTGTTCTTTCGACGCTGCCTGTGCTTGTTGTTTTTCTTGAAGGCTTCTGATTTCTCGAGCCCGGCGGACCTGGGCAATCACCTGAAGATGCTGGCGGCAAACGAAGAGGCCTACGAAGCGTACTTCAAGTGGAGAGACGATCCTGAGGAGGAAAGGCGGTTTGCCGAGGTAGGTGGTTTTCCGAGGTTTACTCCCTCGATACATCAAGAATTGGTAGACTCGTCCGTGAAACGCACGGATATTTACGAAACACGCACGTAATCCGCCCTTGTTGCTGTGTACGTTTTATCTTGCGCACAAACAGCGCCCACTTTGTAGGTGGGGAAGGTGACTCGCGCTTGTGTTTCGATATTTCAGAAATATCAGGGTTAGACTAGTGTGCTTATGGCATGATGAGCGATTGGCGAGCTAATATTTCCATACGCCTGCATTGTGCCCGCAGCCTTTCAACGTCCATGATATGGTGGGGTAGGGTTTCGTCGTGGGAGGATTTCAACCGGGACCATTTCATTGAGTGGGCCAGCGCTCATACAACGCAGAGCAGTTTCTACGGCCGCCATTGCCCGCTGCCGGTCCCCTGTTGATTGCACCTGCAGCCACCCCCGTGTGCAATCTCTCGCGGCACGTGGCTCCCTCTCACTGGTGCTTCTATCAAGCTCAGCTTCCGCGTCACCCTGTCCCTACGTACACGAGCGGATGTAGATCGTGCCCGCTTGTTTCGCCCACCGCTCCCCCGCCCCTCTGCCTGTTTCCCAATACTTGTCAACGCAGAAGGTCATCTCTCGCTCGGCGTACGGGGTAAACGCCATGTGCCGGTTGTGCGATCGAGTGTTGAGCGAACAAGAGTCACTGCGGTGACATGCATAGGGGCGGTCACAGAAGTTTGAAAAGGAAGAAGTGTTGAGTGGAGGGCATAGACATGAAGTTGGGAATAACGCTAGGGCGGGGTGACGGAGGGGGTTGCTATTTCATCAATCGAAAGCAGGTTTCGCACAGAGCAAAAGGAGTGCAGCAGCGGAGTGCCCAGTCGAAAGCACGAGGGGCGTCAACCGTTTCCGCCAGGACATTGCGAAGATGTTCCGCGTTGGATCTGGTATTTGTGACCCCCGGAAGGAAAGGAAGGGAGAGACCGCCCATTGGCCAGAAGCCATCAGTGGCGACTTCTTCTTCGTATTGTCACTGTATTAAGTGCGTGTTCTTCGTTGTGTTGTCAAATGTGTGTGCTGTAACATTCTGTCGCGCGCATGCCGCTAGGGCCCCCTATATTTGAAGTTTCCTGACACGTGTTCTACGTACCGATCGACGAAACGTAAGCCAAGTGCAGGGTGTGCAGGGGGGGCTGGTGAAGGGTGTTGCTGGAATCGCGGCGAGGCTTTTCGTATGAGTTTGTTTTGGTTTTGGATGTTGGATGAATTTCGCGAACTCTTGAGTTCATACTTTAGTTGCTGTGCGGTTTCGGTTGGCCCCAATTGGTGGGTGTGTGAGACTCAGAGGCTCGATGGTTCGTATGTACAGTAGTCGGGAATTTGGTTTGAAATTTTGTTTGTGATGCTGTCCCACCTTGTTCGTTTGGTGGTCTTCATGCTTACCGTCACGTGAAATGTTGACATGTACAGTTTTGTTGTCTTGGTGTTTCTATGGCTGGGCGTCCGTGTTGCCTACAAACGTGCCACGTACCTCTTGAAGTATCCGAGCATTTGTTTTTCTTTTCCAGTCTCGGCAGCAGTGTGATGCGGTGGTGTGGCCTGCATGTGGCCTCTACTTTCGTACTACATATGCAGCAGCGTGGTGGCGGTATTTCTCTACACCCGCTAGCTAGAGTTGAGGGAAGGACATGATACCAACCAGACACATGTCTGTCAGTTTTCGGTTCCTCTCGTCCATGATCAATTGAAAAAACAATACTCTTGCCAAACGTACATGCATCGACCAAACAAGTGGATATTGGTCACGTTGACAAAGAGGCACTGTAGTGGGGTCATGTACGGTACGGCGGTGGAGTTGTCTAGGACTGGCTCGATTTCCCTGCTACCAAAGAGCAATTACTCGGAGTATGTACCTCATTTTTCTGGAGCAAGAAATCCGTTTCCTGGGATGGGACAACGGCGGTGATTGTGATTGCTTTGCCTGCTTTCTTCAGAGGTCTTGTGCGTCCCGCTAGGAACGTGTTGGTACCGCGCAGCTAAACGTTTTGCAAGTACATCGACGTGAGGGGCTGTGTGTGGTCGCTATGAGGAGGCTGCTGCTGTACTTCGGTACGGGGTGTTCATATTTCTCTATGCGAAGTTCTTACGAAGTTTTATTATTTTGTGGTTCTGAGCCGCTCAGGGTGCTTGGGCGATTGATAGTGCGATGCGCGCTTCGGTTCTCCTTCGTGAATATACAACTACTGTATAAGTCTCCACAGAGCGCTCTGCAAAGTCAGCATTCACTTACATGATGACCTTCCAATCTTTCAAATGTCATCCTCTTGCAGGCGGGTAAAGATAGGTGATATCCACGATCAACAGTTATTTTTAGCGCACACACACGGAGCGTTACAGGTGCGGCACGCTGAAGCGGATACATTACACACATTTTCCCCTGGAGTCGTGCTTCCCCATCTAATCTTGCTGAACAAGCAGACGCATTGGTTCGTGTTTTCCCAAGGATACTTGGCAGGGTTATATTTTTTTATCCATTGTTACCTGAAAAATGGGAGGTCGACCCTCATCTCACCGCACGCAAAGAGAAAGAGAATATTATAAACAGTCCGCGTCGACAGGAGTTTGAAAAGCGGAGAATCATCGCACCTCGCTCTCTCACCCGTGGCTTTTTCCCCTCTTTGGGGTACAATATTACGGGGCTGCAGCAAGAGCTCCGCCACATAGGTTCAACCTTCCAAATCCGTGTAGCAATATGGCTAATCGCGTAAGAGGTACGGTAAGAGTTGAGAGAGTGCGCTTTGCTGCGGGACTGTGGGACTCCACTTTTAGAATCTTTACTTCTGAGGGGGTAGCAGCCACCAACTGCCAACGCCTATTATTTTCGCGCGGTCCCTTTTTCGCTCTTTTGTTCCTCACCAGTTCGTTCCACGCGCACACCTCGAGCACATCACTGCTTCTTCTTCTTGGAGGCGAGGACAAGAATAGCGCCAATCACCCGGCCGCGTCGCAGCTGGTACCGACGCCCTTCTTCCTTTGCCGAAGAGGTGTGTAAAACGGTGTACAAAGCGTCCGTATCCGCATAGATGGGTGTGGTCCGAACGGACATATATGCCTCTCAGCTGGTAGCCACATGACGCAAAAAATTCGCGACATACACAAGCCGCGCATGGACACCCCCGCCCCTCGTGCTGTTGCCTGGTACCTCTGTGCGTCGGCGGCTGCCTCCGTCTCTCTCATAATGTTTTATTTTCTCTCCTTGGCCGATGCTATGGCGATGCGTCTGCTACTACGTGCAGCAAGCAGTATGTAAGCCTAAAGTAAAACGTACGGAGAACGACAGGCGATTCCGAGCCCAACATCCGTTCCTTCAATAGCACAACCGTGTAGGTCCTCGCCGCGTTAAATATGCGGCTGGGAGCTGCAACTCCCTCATTGCAAAATGATGCTCGCGTGCCGTAGTCCGACGCTGTGTGCCCTAGCGACTGCTACTTGCTACACTCATACCTTACAACACCGTCGTGCTCTCTCGGCTTGCAGCTAGCCTGACAGTCCCGTCAAGGAAACCCGCCAACCGGCAACCCGCCAACCCTACAATCCTTCAACAATGAAGCCGAGACGCGACGAACCTTGCGGGCACCAATCGCTTCTAGAGTGTCAACCGATCGGCGCCGTGCCATAGCTTTCAACCCCCAAGCGGTGATGTCGTCCATCCATTTGCAGGTGTAGCGAATCGATACGAAACGAGCGGTATGGCATCATGCGGCCTGCACAAGAGGAATATTTTGGAACACATGTACTGCTGTAGAATACAAGATTGTAATCCCTCCCGGCGTGGGCTTACGAGGCCTTGTATTATAGTGCCAAAATCAGGCAGCACCAGCCCGCAGCTGCTAGCTGGCTGCCAGCTGCCAGTTGATTGTGACGTTCCCAAGTTCAAAAGCTCACACAGCTCAGGTTTTTATGTTTCTCGGAACAGCCCGGCGAACCTCCACGATTTTTCCTTTTTTTTTTTTTTCTTAGTATGACACAACGAATCCATCTCTATCATAGAAACGAGTCTGAGACAGATTAGCAATGAGTTCATAGCGTCAGAAAGTACCTGTATCGACGCGAAGAACGTGGAACATTGCGGACACCAATCCTTTCTATTTTTGCATTGAGCGCGAAACCAATTGTGCGGTGCTATAGTCCTATGCATATAGCCTTCCTCCCCAAGCGGTGATCTCGTCAATATTTAGCGAAAATTTTTGAAACGACGCTGTACACGTTTTGTACGACAGCAGTAGACTAAACATCCTGCACGTATGTACTACAACGGCAGACTGCGATTTGGAACTGTACATTATTTTGTCTTCCGTTTATTCTGAGGTGTCTTGCCCACACGCACACGTTTTCGTACCATTTTGGACGCACCAGCAGGGTGACGTACCATGTAGCCCCGAAAAAAAAAAGTAGATGTTTGTCCCGGACGCTTATTCTGTGGAGAGTTTAAGTTGTTGTGTTTTTTACACCATCACCTTGAGAAGCCCCGTGCCCCGAAATCAACGTACTCAGGCGGCTCGTGGGACGGTTGCTGTCTTCGCATTTCGACCGGTTCCGATCCATGTATAATGCCTCCTGACATTCGCTGGTCCAACGGACGCCGTGCTTGATCAGAGGCTAGCTATCCCAAAAGGGTACCACATACACCACGAGAACACAGCCGCGGGGATAACATCTTGGCGAATAAAACTCATCTCTGGATGTTTTGTTCTGTGGGGGGATGTTGTCTTGTGTAGCCCGGGTGATAGTGTGCATCTCGCGAGAGCCATGAAGGGTGTGTGATAACCAGGCGGTGTGATTTCAATGCCGCAAACTCGCAGGGGCCTAAGGGGTGTGGTAAGCTAAGTACCGTATGGGGGGGTGTATTGCCCACATCGGTGCCTCCTCGACGTATTGTTTCCTCACCACTTGCCTGTCTCTCTCCTGTTGAAACTCGCCAGTGTTAGGTGACACACGGCGTCTCATGTATTATTCACCACTCACTACAATACTAGAGGGCACTGCCCAAATACAGACGTCCCTGCTTTACTCGGTCAGGTACGAACTCGACAATCACTTGCTCTCCCGCACGAGCAGCTGGGACAGATGCAGCTTTAGCCTTCCCGACAGACTGACGTGCAAGCAGTACCCCCAACTCATGCGACATATTTCGGTCGAAAAGTTTAATGTCCGGAGCAAGATCTGCCTTCTATATTTTTTCTATGAGGAACATTATTACCATCTCGACACGGTCGGGCGTCATTACCCGCCAAAGATGGTTGTACACGAACCATAGTCACGAAGCCCCCCCAATCTATTACAACATTGGCAACTTCAGTAGCAGTGCTGCCAATTGTCAATGCAAATATGTCCGTGGTGTGTGTGGAGCGGCACGCAGGTGCGCATGGTTTTCATGCGTAAGCCCGTGCACACACATGATGTCTTGTGCAAGACTCGCGCCGTGAAAAAAACGTGACTCCGTAAAAATCCGGTTGTATCAACCGTTGAGTATGTATCGGAGTATCTCAGACGGCTCCGTTAAAGGCTTGTACGGATTGTTGGGAAACCGTACGGAAAGGGGCGGAGCGGTTTATCCGAGGACAAGATTTTCAAGGAGCGGAACAGCTTGCTCATTTCACCAAACGGAGCGGAGCGATTTTTGCCATCCGTGATCAACCCTCTTACAATAATATTAGCACCGGGTGTTGTATTCTGTTGGGGGTGTATGATTTCTGATGTGGGTGTGTTGTCTTGTGTGTACATGTACATGATACAAACTAAATGACCCAGGCCGACAAATCATCACAACTGACGGAATGATGCTACTGCTGTAGTAGACAACTGCAATATGCGTTCAGTAGAGTACCGTATACGAGATAAGATAACACGCCCGCATAAGAAAGTCCCCCAAACAGCATACAACACCCGGTGCTAATAGCGTTTGGATCTCAAACAAGGAGCCGAAAAATACCCGGATTACGTAAGATATCACACCCTCTGAGGTCAGGACGTGTGTTCACGGGGCCCATATGCTGCTATCACCCCGGTGATGACGCACAACACACAGTGGCCCCTGATGACATACAAAAAGTGGCCTAGAAGGGAACATAAGCAACGCACCCCGTATGGTTCTTCACTGCGAACTAAAACAATCCAACTTTTGCTTTTCTCCCCGACCTGCTTGGAGGACTCTCTTTTGTGCCAGTACTGTAGGCGGTAGTAGTGACGGATGAAACTATATTTCATTACATGGCAACACTTGAGCCGTGGTCGACAGAGCCCTGTTGGCGCCCATTGCCGGGGTCATGTGATCATCACCTCACTCCCCAGCCTGGATGCCCAATCAACCCGCGTCACATCTGGTTTGGAACAGCAAAAATGCAAGGATGCTGACGAGCTTCTGGTTCATCCTTGTGAAACGTAGCCTGGGCCGGCGAAAACCTGGCATATCGCGCCGCCCCGGTATTGTAGAGTCCGGCAGTGTAGAGATGCGCGGTCAATGCTCTGTCGATGCAATTGCAAGGCGTTCAACAAGCTTATGTGTGCAGAACAGGAAGTTAAGAATCTGTGAGTTCCTGAGTGCGTTAGTACCTCTGTCGGTAGTGTGCTGGGGATGGGTGTGCGCCATTATTCATCCCCTCTCATGCTGCGCTGCTGTTCGTCTGTTCACTGTGTTTCAACACCTACAGTGCCTTTCCTCTGCGCTCCAACGAACGAAATCATACGAACAGGAGAGCGCCTTCCGGACAGTCGAATCTCCGTTCCGCAGATCACAACGGCATCATGTTCTTCTCTAGACGAACAGCGCTGTTGGTCGTGGTGGCAGCAACCGCACTTCTCGCACCCGACCACGTTAGCTTAGCCGCCACGACAACCGACCAGGTACTTGAAGTTTGCATGAACGAGTTGTTGTTGTGTTCTGCCTTTTGGTCGGAACGGCTCTCCATCCGCATGTGCACCGTTTCGTAGCATGCCATCATCAACGAATGTTGTCGTTGTTGTGCGTTGTGGTTGTCCGTAGAGAAGCGAAACGCGCAGGGGTGTCCGTTGCGTCTCAATTTGGGGTTTGCCAGAAGGGATTCCGCACGGTCAATCCGTTGTCCTATGGACACGGAAGAGTCGAAACGAGGACCCCGTCCTTTACTCCCTCGAGTCTGCCGCTCTTTCATTGTCTCCTTTTTCACGGTCCCTACGTACGATTGACTGATTCACAACTCTCACGCCAAGCTTGTTGCGCGTAACTTTACCTTTGGTTGCTGTGGCAACATCATCAACCAGGACACAGCGGGAACGACAGTTTCCGCCACATCAATGGAACCAACCGGCACCACGTCAACGGGAACAACCGATACCGCCACGTCCATGGAACCAACCGGCACCACGTCAACGGGAACAACTGATAGCACCACGTCCATGGAACCAACCGGCACCACGTCAACGGGAACAACTGATAGCACCACGTCGATGGAACCAACCGGTACAACCACGTCAACGGTGGACGAAGATGACGAGCCGGGCGGCTCTTACGAGGACTGCGACTTTTCGTTTGCAGGGGACGGCAAATGCCACGAAGATCTCAACACGGAGGTTTGCGGTGAGATGTGGTCCCGTCGTACTTGGTTGTTTGTTCCGCTTGTCCGATTGCAGCCGCTCCTAGCATTATCCCGCTCGTACTTGCTCAATTGCAGTTGATGGCATTCTCCTTTGTTTTTGACGGTTACACCACTATCGAGGTTGGGCGAAGTTGAAGGCTTCTCCTGTGGTTTTATGTTGCTTTTTGAATTCTTCACTATCCAAACGCGTTATGGTTTGTCGGTGGAATTCTTCACACGATTCCAGTGTTCTGAGCTGTGTACCTCCTCGTACTGACTCTTTTGAGCAATTTCACTTGTTTCCGAGGGTTTCCGAGGGTATCAGCTAACCCAAACAACTGCAGTGTACACAGCACAATATTCTCGCTGAAGACGTGTGCCACCACTCGCGAATTACGAGGACCGCAAGTGTAGGGAGACGACGTGTAGGGTACGGCCGGTAGAGCCCCCACGAAGAGGTACGTAGAGAACACTGCTCCGTTACTAAAGAACCTGAATCACAAAGGACCCCTGAGGAGAACCGTTTTTCGAGAAATGAACCTGGCAGAGCTATCGTTGTCACCGGACAACAGACTTGGGGAATGTAAGTGTAACGCGTCCGTGCGAATCAATCCAGCCCCCGGAGGCACCTCTGGGTCGCAAGCAGTCAAATTGCGTACTCTACCTCGATGGAAGCGTGCTTCCCTACAATTGTCGTCATTTTTCATGGCACGGCTAGCGTTGTAGAATGCTATGATCTTCCTCGAAGGGCTTCTGATCAGTCTCGGTACTACTGTAGACAACGATCAAGTGTGGCGTGTGTTGCCACACGTTGCTGTACTTTCTCACCACCCGACGTCTGCCTCTCTTTCTTGCTACCCCGTCCACGTCACGCCTTCAGGCTACGACGGCGGCGATTGCTGTTCCTGCACCTGCGAGGTAAAGCTCCCTCTTCTTGGTAGATCCTTCTGATGTTGCCCGTCGACCTCCTTCATTGTTCTGACCAAGTCTTAAACACAGGTTTCTCCTATCGCGTACCATGTCCTTGGTGTTGTAGACGCACGCTAGGCAGGGCAATGTTCGCGGGCATAGATCCTCATTGTGGGCATGCTAGGCGTTGTTGCGCCCACGCAATTCGATCCCCGCAGATGCCTGTTTCGCTTTCTGACAAAATTGTTGTTTGTCATGTCGTCTTGAACGCAGCGTGGGGCCTTCAACTGCGGCGGGGAATACAACTGCATCGATCCCGAAGCCGTCTGCGTGGAAGACGACGATGGGGATGGCGGGGAATTGACGACCGCGGACCTAGGTACATGGAGAACTGTGGTAACATTCAGACATCCATTTCACGAAGAGTGCAGTTGTTCGACGAGAAAACCTCTCACGGTTGTACTCAAGCGACCCCAACCCCGGCGTGGGCAGTTTCGATGCCGGGAAGATATCCTCTGTGCTGTCGGTATGGTACCAGAAGCGCGTATGCAAGCAGCCAGCTGGAAACCCCGATGGGCGTCTTTCGCTGTTTAAACTGCATGCATGACGAAGACCCCGCATTTTTCTCTGGTCAAATCGGCCGTTGCCAAAGTAAACCGCCTCAAAGAGGTGTCAACGAAAGACTGGGGTAACGATGAGGCTTGTACTGTAGAGGTCCACACCCTGTGCGATATTGATGCCCTTGACCGCCTCTGAAACTCGGCTTCGGTGTTCCTCTCTTAGACCTCGTTTTCGAGCGTGGCCAGCAACCGCTCGGCACTATAAACCCAAGTGCACTATTTCAACTGTTTTCTACCCGCCTTGATGGAAGCGCCCTGGCCGACGTCGTTCTTGCCGCTGTTACAGAAGACGACGGTATCACGGAAGAGATGGCCGACGATGCTCGCACGGCAGATGACGATACCTCTGCCTCTGGAACCACCTCCTTCTCGTCCATCGTAACCGGGGTCGCCACCGCCGCCGGCGTGGCTTCCGTATTCGCAGCGTACACCCTGTAGCATTGCTTTCGCCCTGTCCTATGTAAATTGTGTGTCTCTGCTTGTTATTTTGTTTTGTTTAATCCCTGAGAAATCGTAAGACGTACTTGCTTGCCCAGAGAGTTTGCCCGCTCATGATCGTCTTGACATCCTCGTTCTGTAGAGGTCTTGCTCCTCACAGTGAAACAGCGAGCTGTTTATTCTTGAGTTTCCACCGCTGCTGTTTGTTGCTTGGGCGTGTGTCTGAGTTGCGTTCCACCATTTCCTGCCTAATTTGAGGTTTGACCAGTTTGGGAGGCTGGGATCGTAGGGCTTGACGTACCAGGCATACGTAGCGGCGAAGGCTGGGAATGTTCCCGCTTGATTAATCCGCTATTTGATTGTTCGAAATCCAGGGGTGTGCATGCGTTACTACTGTTTTCCGCACAGGATCAAGCCGCAAAAAGGCGTGTCTGTTAGCAGCAGTGCTAGCTAGTAGTATGCGCAGCCAAAGGGCATTGGCGCTTCGACTTTCTATTGATTTGGGACGGAAAACATTATCTTAGAAAGTCGAACGCGTGTTGGAATACAACCAACCCCACGGCTGCATCCAACGTCTGGCGGTGGTTTTTTTCCGGGCAGATGATGTGGTCCTTAGAGTGTGTGGTTGCCGATGAATGTGAAGTAAGGGCGGGTCCGTGTATGTGTGTGCTTGCTTGGCATCGAGCTTCAAATTCGAGCACATGGCATAAAACTCTCTGTATTCTTCGTACCACTGCCAACGAGAGATATGTAGGCAGATGGACGACATGCATGCAGCATGCATAGGTTGTGCATCCTGCGTTGTTGGAAAGTCTAAGTCTGGTTGTACGCTTTTCGTCTCGTTGGCGGATTTGCGATTGAAGGCAACAACTGGGAACTAGCCGTGGGAATTATGTCAATGAATCAGGTGCTTCAGATGACTGGGTCTCACTCAAAAGCACTCCTGTCCTTCTCGTCCAAATTGAACGGGCATGTTTCAGACGCCCCGATGCGTGCGTGTGCAAGTCGAGGCCGAGGTGTACGTGGCAGCGGAACGCTACACGTTGGAACCGTACGTGTAACAGCACCGGAAAAACAACCATGCGGTGTATTTACTTTATTGTCACAATATATATGTCGCATCTCGCTACATGTACAGAGACTGCAGTCGTGTAGACGTGTGGACTCTCTTCACGAGACTATCAAAACATGAACCTACGGACGATTTATTTTTCACTATTGATATTGTAGTCAATGCAGCCTCAAGTCCTTATACGTTAAATAAGGTGTGTGGACGTATCTTGTAAGCACGCCGACCCGACGAACACTTGCTCGTGATGCGTATTCTTTTTTTCTTTTTTTCTTTCTATGACACAATAAATCCATCTCTATCTACAGAAAAAAGCCTAAGGTAGATAAGCAATGAATCTATAGCGTCAGCGAAGGGTTATCTGTGTGTCTACGATTTCCCGACCAGCACACAACGACATCTCCCCTGTGGGTAACAGGCTCAACAAGGCAGTTTGGTGGCCATCTTGTTTATCTATCTGCATGTATGTTATGTTGGGAAGTTATAGACGGAAGATTTCGGTTTGTCTGGTGTGCTATTTATAGCACCCTCATGTGGTTGCGGAACAAGCGCGTCTCGGGGTGTGTACATGTTCGTCATCAACTTATTTTCTGTGTGTGATGTATGAGCGTATGGGCGGCGCGGGAGACCATATTTACTTCTTCCATTTTGTCCGGCCGGCCGGGTGTTTGTCCTGTCGTTGTTCGGGTTATGTGTGTGCGAGGGGCACGGGAGAACCTTATTTCTCACCATTGCCGCCTGACGTGGTAGACAAAGGCGTGCGGTTGAGGCTTCGTCACCGAATGTCAAGGGTGTCTGTTACATGCGGAGGGTATTGTTATCTCCCTCATGTATGTATAGGCAACACAGACCATAGGCAAGGTCAAATGTTATCATCTCTGCCACATCATTTGGTGGCGACAGCAGTAATTTGTAATCTGAGCAAAAAATCGGCATGATTCCTGCCGGTTACAGCCTTCAGCGTCGAACAGGCGACCCACCAATCGTCCGGCATGTATGGCGAAATCCTTTTGGATGCCATAGCATATGTTGGGTCGTTCGGGAAAGGGCATCACCGCAGCCGTAACCCATTTATTTGATCGAGGACGCCAAGTTATGAGAAGGATGCCATTTCTTCCACAACATTGTCCCTACAATCAAACAACCAAGGAAGAATAAATACACAAGCAGAAAGACTACCCGTTCGAGATAACCCACGTTCGAACGGGATGTGGTTGAATCTTTTCAGCGAGTGGAGGAAAACCGGCTGGGTAC